GAGAGATGGTCATTCCTTGTGTTGTGAGATGTTTTGTTGCCAAAATTGGTGTGATTGGTTCTTTTGTTTTTAAGGTACTCATTATGCACAGAGTATTTTTAGATAGATAGATAGATAGATAGAGAGATAGAGAGAGAGAGAGAGAGAGAGAGAGAGAGATAGATAGATAGAGAGAAAGAGAGAGAGAGAGAGAGATGAAAGAAAAAAAAGAAAAAAAAGCAGAACACTCATTGTCAGGCTAACCTTTCTTCTTATGTTGTTTTTCTTCTCACATGAGTTGAGTTTATTGTTTACGAATCAGCGGTCTCCAGACCACAATGAGTTTGGAAGTCAATTGTAAACTTCACTATGCTCTGCTGGGGAGAAGGGAAGTGGGAGCCTCTTCCCAATGCATTGTCCGTGAAAATCAAATGCAGTCGCCCATGAACAATGCTGAATGTTGAGAGAAGATCACCATCTGTCATGCCTTCCCTTGACAGCAATAGCAAAAGCTCACCACTTCTATCCTATGAAAGGTCAAGACATTAGTGGCTCAAAGACATGCCCTTAACTAGGGTGCTATAAGGATTTTGTGCATGTTAAGATAACACATACTTGGAAACATCTGACTTTTTCAAATACATTAATACACACATTTTGTTGTTGTCTACCTTCAAGTCCTATCATAAGGTTTTCTTGAAAGATTTCTTCAGAAGGTGGTTGTTATTGCTTTGCTTTGAAAGTGTTATGATTGGTCAAAGGACATCCAGTAGGTTTCCTTGGCTGAGTAGGGATTTGTACCAGATTCTCCAGAGTCCTAGTCCAGTGTTCAAACCACTACACCATTTTAGCTCTGCTAAACTACATGCTACCAACACCACCTGAAGCAGGGAGTAGAAGAAACATAACCTATAATGGTGTTTCTTAAAGATTCTCTGTCAAAATGGTTAAGACACTGAAATATAGGTGGTCTCCAAACATGAAATTGATTTTTTGCACCTTCTGGCTGGCCTAATTATTCATATAAACTTTAGATTAAAAAAACAACAACAAATGGGCAGAAAGCATCTCAGGAACTGCATGGAAGGAGATATCGTTAATTAATTTCCGTGGATTGGCTCTTTTTCATCCACTTTCTAGCATCGTGACTAATTTAGGAGCCACTTAAGGCTTTCAAGGAATGAACTAGAGATACTGTATAATAATATCTGTTGTGATCTGAATGCAAGTATAGAAGCAGGTTGCAGAACGCATGATGCCTGGTCCAAAGCATTTTGCTCCCTGATACAGTCAAGTGTATATTTCCAATAGCTAGCCAAGGTGTTTTTGCAAATGAAGCAGATATTCCCACAATTATTTCTTCCCATTCCTCAAAGAATGGATAACTAAATAACTATCAATTGGTTGGCCTTTCATGACACTCAAAATCTGCTGTCTGAGGTGCCTGCCAAACATATAACCAGTCCAGGAAGGCAATGTAAATGATGTTGTATGCATGTCATAGGTTTTTCTGGAGAAAACCAAGCTATATTTGTATTATCCCTTGTATACTACACATCCCTGGGGATTACATTACTCACAACGCCATCTAGTGGTGACTTTCTCTACACCTATAACTTTAAATGTGCCTTTAATTAACTTCTCTGTCCCCTCTACATCTGATGTGCATTTTCCTCTTTAAATAGAGGTAATTCCTAGTTCTTGCTCATACTCGCAATTAGAATCAAACTTAGAAGCAGAGTATCTTGTGAGTATACACCTATTTGGTGATACATACTGGTAAAACATTTATTTTGATATATGTAACGCTTAAATGTTAATAGCCATAATTTGTTCCTTTTACCTAGATCCCATTGCAAAAAAATTTAAGTATCTCTTATGAGAACATAAAAAGACTGAACTCTGTAAGTATTTCTAAATGCATTTTATTTCATTATGTTCAACCTATACAATTGTAAAATGTATTTATGTATGTAAAATTACAGACCACCCGAAGAAGGCCTAAGCAAAGGCCGAAACCGGTCGTGGGAGGCTGATGCATGAACATACAACGACATCACTAAAAGACTATACAGAACTTATTGCATATTGCTTGATTTTGTGACCACTGTGAATTGAACAGTCCTAGTTTCACAATTTACCTATTTGTTGGACTTAAACATATAACCAGTCCAGGAAGGCAATGTAAATGATGTTGTATGCATGTCATAGGTTTTTCTGGAGAAAACCAAGCTATATTCAAAGAGAGAAATATACCAGATGCCTGATTTAAAGTTCTGGTGAATCACACTGTTAGCCAAAAATGTCAGGTTTTAATTAACTATGATTAATAGTCAAGAAACGGGAAGACAAACTTGTGACCCCATATGTCTGTGACTACATCTCTCATAAGCGCCAGTCAGTATGTCCACTGTTAAGGAAATGGAGCCCTAAACACCTGGAAGGGTACGGCAGCCTACCTCTGCAATTCTCTTATCACATTGTTTTACTTCCCTCCCAATGATCACGGCTACCTTTTGGGAATTGCAAAAACCCAAACCAACCAACAATGAACAACCATGTACAGGCAGTCCCCAAGTTACAAACAAGATTGGTTCTGTGTATTGTCAAAGTCTTTCGTGGCCAGAATCACTGGGTTGCTGTAAGTTTTTCGGGCTGTATGACCATGTTCCAGTAGCATTCTCTCCTGACGTTTCACCTGCATCTATGGCTGGCATCCTCAGAGGTTGTGAGGATGCCTGCCATAGATGCAGGTGAAATGTAAGGAGAGAATGCTTCTGGAACATGGCCATACAGCCTGGAAAACTTACAGTAACCTAAGATAGGTTCTGTAGGTTTGTTCTTTAGTTTTTTAAGTGTAACTCCAGCCTATATTTCTATATATGGATATAGATACACACACACATATATATATACACACACACATGCATGCACAGGGAAGGATTAACACCTCTGTGGTGTTTGTTTTGCTGTCTGTTCCTCTGTTCAGAAGATTTCACCTCTCTTTCTGTCCTTGTGAAAAAATTGGCTTGTTGTGGAAACATTGCTAGCCCAGCTTAAGTGGAGACCTCCTTTGCCCATGATAACTCTTTCAGGTGTGATTTTCCCTTCCTAGGGGTATATTTCTCTCACTTCCTGTTGTCTCAGCCCGAATCTTAACTACTGAGTTGTTTAAAAGTCAGATGTTTGTAACTCATGGACTACTTGTACTAGACCACTTTTGTGGATCCAGGGCCCAATTTTTTGGCTCAGTTCTTTCTAGAATCAACAAATACTGCTAAAAATGCAAAATAAACCCCAACTTTGGGGTTTATCCTTTCATATTAATCCTTTCATATTAGACTACCTGTCCAAATGTAACTCCTGCCACAAACCATCACGAAGTTTAAGATCTTCAGGAGAAGCCCTGCTCTCGATCCCACAACTATCGCAAACACGGTTGATGGGGATGAGAGACAGGACCTTCTCAGCAGTGGCCCCCCGCCTATGGAACGCCCTTCCTAGAGATATCAGATTGGCCACCTCCCTCTTGTCTTTTAGAAGAAAAATCAAGACCTGGTTGTGGGACCAAGCGTTTGATCAGTGAGCAGCAAGTGGAAGAAGATCACACAACTTATGGCAATGAATTGACCCGGACTGGTTTTTGGATTTTGATTTTAATGGATGTGTCTTAATTAATTGTTTTAATTGTTGTTTTAATTTTTAATATTTTGATTGTACTGTGGTTGTTTTTATGATGCTAGCATCGTATGATGCTTTTGTTAGGCCGCCCTGAGTCCCCCTTTGGGGGGAGAAGAGCGGGGTATAAATATAGAAAATAAATAAATAAATAAATAAAACTCCAGATGTCAGGAAAAGGAGAAAGAAAAGACAACCAGTGGAGAGAGGAAAGCAATACATATAGATAGATAAATACATAGACAGACAGACATACAGGGTAAATTTAATTCCCTCTACACATGCCCTGTCCTCCTCATTAAACTAAGGACTGCTGTTTTAATGCCTTCATGTTTTCCTACTCTGCCCTGTTCAGCAGCACCCATTATCTGGCATTGTATAAATCGCCACAGCCACAGAAAATGATACTATGCATACCACTAGCCTGCTTTCTGAGGTAGCAGAGATAAGATACGCGTATGGAAAGAATAATTATGAAACTTAAGTTTCAACTCTGAAAGTCCAACAAATGAGTTAAGATAATAACTATTTTCTATTGCTATAAAAGCTGTAGGAGAAACAAAAATGGAAGATTCCATTCAACCATTAGTAAAACAATAAAGACTGACCACCCAAGAGCACAATCACTCCCAAGGCAATGTTATGTGTGATTTGATACTATGTGTGCACAGTTGATATGCGGGGTCGTAATAATAGAAAAAGGCTTTTAATTCAAACTGAAGTTATGATTAATAATTCAAAGCATTTTTAAAAATATAAAATACTAATTGAAATAATATGATTTGATGAAATGAAACTGGGCTGGATCAAAAGGTGCTGTACTACATGTAGAAATTATTTCAAACTCATTAAATTATCCACAGATTATGTAAGCGTGTGTGTACGCCTTCAAGTTGCCCGTTGATGTATGGCAAACTCATGCATTTCATAGGGTTTTCTTAAGCAAGGAATACTAAGGGGTGATTTAGCCAGTTCCTTCCTCTGAAATACAGCCTACAGCACCTGGGATTCATTGGTAATCTCCCATCCAAGGGCAGTCAGTATGCTGCCTTTCCTCTCCCATCAATCACATAGATATGGTTTGTTTTTTATGGCGATGAGAATCACTGTTTTATAAATGTTTGCCTCAAGGTACACTACAAAGAAATCTACAAAGCTAAAGCAAGCCACAAAATGTGTTTGTGTTGTGCACAAGAATAGCAGCTGGACTGATGCCACTGTTTGCCATGCTAATCTAGCACTGAACTGGAATGAGTTAGGATCTTAAGGATGTGCACTTCAGTAAAGGAAAAGTTTGCTAAGCCAATAATCAGTTGCTATTCATGTTCTGAAGAGCAGCTTACCTTAATAGCCAATTTGTGTGATGTCATGACAGGTTCTTCAATTTCACAGAGAGGCTGGGAAGTAAACAAAAGAAGAGTCACTTTAGAGAAGAAGCAATGAACGTTGACACTGAAGTGTCAAAATACTCACAATGGGCAGGGAACGGGCACCTTTTTATGCGTGCCTGCATGTACGTGTGCGTGTGTGTGTATACACACACACACACCCTTGTTTTCCTTTACATAGCAATTCAATTGCAGAGGCTGACAACATTACCTGTTGATAACTCCCAGGTTGCATGGTCATTTAAAGTGTGTGTGTGTGTGATGACCATAATGGATGGTTGATTCTAAGAAAGTTTATTTTACCCAGTTCTACCTGACCTGCAAACATTTTATTTTATGATGCCGCCACAGACATGTGTCACTTTAACTGGCATAGCAATGGAAACTAGGGAAGAGTCTGTTACAGTAAGTCGTAACAGGATCAAGTATGTGTGTGTGTGTTAAAGAAAACCTTATACTGTTGATTATTATGTGCAGCTGCTAATGTAGGTAAACTAGTAAGTTTGGACCACACATGGTGGGGTATAACTGTATGGGTTTTGGAATACAGTTCACTTTTGCTCTGAGGAGCCTTTGCTCAGGCATTTTGCTCAACCATTTGTATTGCTCTCTCATTTGGATGAAGAAGCCTTATTCTGTATTGTTTACAAGGACTATGTAAGTTTGTTGCACTGTTTGTTTTGCTTGCAACATTGCAAGTTTATGTTTTAACTCTGCTGATAAAAGTGAAGTTTTTCTGTTCTTTTTCCTCTTGCCTGGGTGCAATGTTAGTGTGTCTTCTGTTTTGGACTTGACTGAAACACGCCATGTGCAACAGAGTCTTCTTGATAGTGGTCCCATATTTGTTGATCTCCCTCCTCAGAAATATGTAGTTGGCTTAATGAATGATGGTTTGACCCCTCATCTGCTTTAATCTGAGTTTAAGCAAGTATTCAATGGCTTGCTGCTATAAAGTTCTGTTTTAATGGTTTTACTGCTGCTTTTTAAGTTCTGTCTTCGTTAGTTGTAAATCAATATTGGGATGGACTATGAAATGTTTTAAATTATTGTATTTTATTGGATTATGATATTGTAATTTTGTGCTACAGAGGTTTTACCCTGAAAGGCAGCTAGAAATTTATTTACCTCATTTATACCCCTTCTCATCCCACAGGGGACTCAGAGTGGCCTTACAGTAGACAGCAATTCCATGCCTTATCAAACAGAAAATGGTAAATTAAAAGTATAAAATTAAAAAAAAAACCAATAAAACATTAAAACCACACAATCCATAATCGTAGTCATTGAATCATAGAATCATAGAGTTGGAAGAGACCTCATGGGCCATCCAGTCCAATCCCCTGTCAAGAAGCAGGAATATTGCATTCAAAGCACCCCTGACAGACGTTCATCCAGCCTCTGTTTAAAAGCTTCCAAAGAAGGAGTCTCCACTACACTCCAGGGCAGAGAGTTCCACCGTTGAACTGCTCTCACAGTCAGGAAGTTCTTCCTAATGTTCAGATGGAATCTCCTTTCTTGTAGTTTGAAGCCAGTAGTTCTGCGTCCTAGTCTCCAGGGAAGCAGAAAACAAACTTGCTCCCTCCTCCCTGTGACTTCCAGTCAAGGCTGTTCCAGTCATGATTGCACATTCCCTCTACTCTTATTATGCTGCATTTTAACCCAAAGGCTTGGTCCCAGAACCAAGTCTTCACTTTCTTTCTAAAGGTCAGGAAGGAGGATGCTGATCTGATTTCACTAGGGAGGGAGTTCTATAGTTGAGGGACTACCACTGAAAAGGCCTCGTCTGTTATCCCCAGCAAAGACACCTGTGAAGGAGGTAGAACAGAGAGCAGGGCCTCCCCTGACAATCTTAATCTTCAAAGTGGTTCATAGGGAGAGATTTGTTTGGACAGGTAGGCTGGGCCAGAACTGTTTAGGACTTTATAGGTTAAAGCCAGCATTCTGAAGAGTGCTCGGTAGCAGACAGGCAGTCAATGGAGCTGGCGTAGCAGGGGAGTTGTGTGCTCCCTGTACGTTGCTCCAGTGAGCAACCTGGCTGCTGTCCATTGGACTACTTGAAGCTTCCGAGCAGTCATCAAAGGCAACCCCACGTGGAGCGCATTGCAGTAGTCTATTTACAATGTAACAAGAAATAGTTTCTGAAAATAATTATGAAAAAGGGTTATTTCTCTCTTTCCTTGTGGGCTGTGCTTCAGATCAAAATATCATTCAATCTCATCGTTACCATTGCTTTCCCACCTGCTGGAAAGAGAAGATTTGTGGAAGTCACCTTTTGCTCAGAGATACTGCAATCAAATTTCAGTCTGAAAATAAAATTTCAGTTGATACATCATGGTTTTCATGTGCTGCACATAACTTGAATCTGAGCAGACTCAGATTCTTTAGTGTAACCATGTGCCTTCAACTGAAAAAATATGGCTTTATAAAGTCAACTTCATCTATCTTTTCAATACTCAGAAACAATTCAAGAAGTACTTTAGCAGCAGCAGCAGAAAAAAGCAATTTCATAAATGCTATTTGCTCATTTGCTGCTTTGATGAACTGAACTGTTCTGACAAAAGGACAGAGGTTAGACATATGGATTTACAGCAAAGCTCCAATATAAACAAACAGATTAAAAAAACGAAAGAAAAATGGACGGTGGGGGAAAAGAACAATTCCCCAAAGAACTACAAAAGCAAATGAAGACTTGGTCCAATTTGCTTTTCTGGGTCCTACTCAATAAAGTAACAGAAGGATCTTTCCTATTCTTTGCAAACTGTCACATTTCATAGCAGAAGAACCTGGGTACAATTCCATTAAGCCTGCAAAAATAATAACAACTTGTTTAGTCTCAAGTGTCACATAGGAACATAAAAGGTTTTTCAGGCTTGTATACTAAATCTAACTACTCATCAAAGTTCTACGGGAAAAAGGCAACAGGTACACATCATTTTATCTTTTGTTAGCAAGCAGGGTACATCCAGTTGTTTGGGTCTCACTGGATTAAACCCTTGGTTTCCCTTTCCATATTTTGTCTCCAAAACTGAGGCATTCACCACTCTACCCAAAACCATTAGTGTACCCAAAGCTTGCCAAACACTAACCATTCCCTTTGCTAGTGCAGTGCCACCCACACCCAATTCATTTCCTTTCCCCATTTATTACATCCTGATTTTCTGCCAAGAAAAAGCACCTTTGATGATTTAACAGTGGTAGAAATGAAATAAAAACAAATGCAGTCAAAATATGGCAATTACTCTTACGTGACTACAGTGCAAGGGGATTGAGGATGAAACACATCTGCTGCACACACGCCCAGCCTCATATTTGTTGGCCAGGGAAACAACGCTGTGTTCGTAGAAGAATTAAAAGGTATTCCTTTTCCATGGGAGACCAATCACCTCATAGGTTTTGGATTTTCTGGGATCCCTAACTTCTGTAGTGTTAAATTAGAACAGGCCTTGAAAATGACTTGTTTCAGAAGGATCCCTAAGTGGTCTGGCACAGTTTCCAAAGAGTAGATTGAAGAAATTGCCTTTAGATCCCACAGGTCTCTGGTAATCGTTGACTAGTCTTTTGTGTCTTAAAAAAACCAAATTTTTTAAGACAAGTAAATATCTATCTATAACAAACTTTCACATAAACCAAACATTAAAGGAACAGTGTATTTATTACAACCTAATTATTGGAAATTCCATAACCTACTGGAAATAGCTGCACCATAACCTTATTGAAAAGGTAAAGAAGATGTCACATCTGTTTGACAAATGTGAATCTCCATAAACATTTGGAGACCACCTTTTGAAAACCACTAGTCAAGAAAAGTTTGTCTTTGTTAAAAGTCAACTCTTTGAACAAGTGATATTCATAAGCATTAATGTAATGGCACACAGGTAACTCAGCTGTTAAACTGAAGAACTGTGTCTTTAAACTGCCAAGGATAAAGACATGCCACTACAAAAATATATTTGGTTAGAAAAGGATGGTTGTTTCTTTGATGCTGAATTTGCAATTGCCCAAAAGATATACACTCCCTTAAAACCTTTTAGTTAAAATATGCACTCAGAGATTAAAAAAAAAGTTTTCTTAGAAAAATAACATATTTATTTACTTATAAACATCTTATATTAATTCACCATACAAGCAAATTTCTTATTAAAGTTCATTTATGAATAGGATGTAAGTTTCTTTCTGTTGAGTACACAGGATATCATTCTTTATCAATAGTTCATAGTCTTTAAGGTATAGTTGTACTCACTGAAGTCCATAAGTAATACTTATTTATTAAAGTCTAAACAGCAACATGTATCCACCCCCAGTGAGGTCTAAAGCAGACACATCCATGTCCAATGAGGTGTTCAGTAGACTTGTAACATTGAAGTCCATAATCACACTGAATACAAAATGGAGTCTTGAGTCTGAACATGCTCAGTAAAATCACATGTCTATAACCCCTCCCACACCAAAGAGATCAGCCAAACTGGCAAATCAACATACACATAGAATATAGGTTAGCAAATACATACATTATCAAATGAACAGTGAAAGGCTTGGGAGGTTGTGATTTCCAACACTAACTACTAGGTTTGTTGATCAAAAAACAAAATGGTTCAAAACTCGTATCTTCAATTCTAAAGTCAATTCCACTTTAAAAAAAAATCATTTTTTTAAACTTCCAAATCCTTTCGTTAATGGTTTGAAAGTGTTATTTCCTGTTTCATTGGGTGGTCTTTACTTTGAAAGTAGTTGTTTTACTCCAGAAGCAGGGAAAAGCAAGCGGTGGAAATTCCTTCCATCTCTGGTTTAAAACCGGCTTCTCTGGCTTGAGCCAAGGCCAGGGACCAGAAGCGGGAAAAAGCAAGCAGAGGAAATTCCTTACTTCTCTGGTTTAAAACTGGCTTCTCTGGCTTGAGCCGAGGCCAGGGACCAGAAGCGGGGAAAGCTGAATCATTTCCGAATAACTTCCTGAATCGTAACAAGAATGGTGGAAAAAGCTTCAGAAGGGCAAAGGGATTTCTGGTTTTTAA